GTGGAGTGACCATTGGTATGATTATAGTAGAGGGTGGCTTGTGTCTTGGCGCAAAACCTATTTGCATCAGGCTACGCCGTCTTGTAATACACTGTCGCGCATTTGCACCGCGTACGCAACCTATCTAACAGCCCGTTCGCGGCTATTAAGAGAAGGATCCACGTAACTAGTGTTAGGAAATAGCAGTAACGGTAATATTGTGGACAAATATTAGAGGAAAAATTTAGTTCTCTAGTTAAAAACCCTCTGACCGTGCCCCCGCCCCTTCGCTGGGCGAACGGTCGTTAGATCCTAGAACCGCAAGGGGATACCGGCGTAGGGGCCGCGGCACTGTCACTGGCCCGCGTACTATAGTGACTCCGCCTCTATGGAGGAGTCGGATTACCTCGACTAACCATTTTCGCTCTACAGTTAGATTAACTTAATTCTAATTTACACGTAATTATAAATTCCCTTTCGTTTTTGTCCACTAGTCGTCTTCGGCTGTACATTGTAGTGCTAATGCACTACAACTTCCCCCCTCGGCCGAAATTTTCCTGTCTTTCCTTGAAACTTTTTCCCTCCCGTCGTAGATAGATTTATTCCCTCTCCCACTCGCTTCCTTTACCTCCAGTTCCTTGTATCCCGCCTTCTTCTTCTACTTCTCCACTATTACGCCTTTCAGACTCCACTTCCGAATCTACCGTACTTCCCGTCGATATATTTCTCTCCGGTGTATTTGTGCTGTGCAGTGCCCTGAGCGGTGCGGCTGCCGGGGGGCGCCGCACCACCTCTTCCCCCCCCGCGAGGAAAGCGACTGGAAGAGGGACCCAGCCGCGTTGGTGTGCGCGGAGCTCGATGCAGTGTCCTGAGGGCTTCGCTGGGTGTCCTTCGCACGCTTGAAATAACGACGCCACGCTCGAAGAATAGTGGGACAGTTGGTGAGATTGGCAACCGGCTCCCATGTTGCGCGGTTTTCGGGAGCGCCACGCCACTTAACGAGATACTGAACATCTTGTCCCGAGCCGCGTTGATTAAGAATGTATTCCACTTTATAGGTGTCGGTAGGAGTGCCATCCGGGCCCGTTATGGGTAGCCATCCAACGGCGGCCTCCTTAGACTGCCTCTGTGGGTCGCGAGGACGGTCAGGTACGAGCTGAGACACATGAAAAACATTATGACAGGAATAGGTTGGAGGGAGCGCGATGCGGTAACCCACCTGTCTGATGCGTTCCAATATTGTGAAGGGTCCACGGAACCGAGGCTCAAGCTTGGGACATTGGTTGAGGCCGGGAAGGTGGCGGCTGCTGATCCAAATCTGATCTCCTGGCTTGTATTGGACATCGCGGCGGTGAGCTTCGGCGTAACGTTTTTGCTGCCACTTTGCTTTGAGGATATGGCTTTGAGCCCTATCACATAGCTGCTGGGATACTTTCGTCATTGGCGGGGTGAGGGTGGGCGCAAGATTGCCCACAATATCTAGGTCGGCCGCGGTGACCGGGTTTTGGCCGATCATAATCTCAAAAGGGCTAGGTTCCGTTGACGAATGGCTAGTGGTATTATAGGCGAGTTCTAGCGCAGGTAACAGCCGTTCCCACTCTCGTTCATCCGTTTGAATGTAGGTTCGGAGCATTTGCTCCAGAGTGCGGTTAACTCTCTCCCTTTGTCCATCTGATTGCGGGTGATAAGGTGAAGACATCGCTCGCTTAATGTGGAAGCGCTGGCACAGCTGCTGCCAGAGTTGTGATTGAAAACGGGGGTCCCGATCGGATATCAAAACGTCTGGAACGCCGTGATAGCGAATCCACCTATCTGCGAGTAATTCTATGGTGTCTGCTGTGGTCGCTGTCTTCTTTGTACGAATGAAGTGCACCATCTTGCTTAAAGAGTCGACGATAACGAGGATGCAATCATGTCCGCGGGGAGTAAGAGGCAAGTCTGTTATGAAGTCCAGGCTAACATGGCTCCAGCGTCGGGAGGGAACGAGGAGAGGCTGAAGGAGACCCGCTTGCCGCTGCGAGAGCGCCTTAGAAGCCCGACACTTCACATAAGACTCGACATACGCAGTTGTATAAACTCGCATTCCCGGCCAGTAATATAGCTTACTGAGGGACAGAAACGTTTTGCGTTCGCCACGGTGTCCAGCCGTAACGTGGTCATGATGGCGGTAGAGAAGATGCGAGAGGAATTCCGGCAAAGTAGGAGGACATATACGCCAGAGCCCATGTATGCAAACGTATAGGTACGGTCGGCAGAACTTGAAACGATATCTGCGGCCCTGTAGCTGGTGAAGGAACTCTGCTTCGTTGTGACGGTCTGCCGCGAGGACAATGCCGCGGAAGTGAGGACAGCGCCGATAACAATCCTCCGAACGTTGTGGCGTCAGGCATTCCGTCACTGCGGGCGATTCCGGAGCAAATTCTGTAATCGCGACTGAGGTAGTTGGAGCTGAGGACGACGAAGAGGGGGAGGGGACCGTGGACGAAGGAGAATCGCTGGGCTCCAGAGGGGGCGAAGATTGTCGCGTCGACGCCAGCCCAACCGGTGTCCCTGCTGGAGGCGGGATAAGCGGGTCCGGTGAAGTAGGCGATGTCTGCTTGGAGCGCCTGCGATGGGAGCGGAACCCGGCGATTGCTCTGAAGTCAATTTTGGGCGCGTTCCCAGACGAGGAGCGAGTAGAATATCGAGGAGTCGCTGACGTTGTTACCTGTTGAGGTCCGGCAAGAGGAACTAGAAGCGTTGGGGTCGTCGTCGAGGCTGCGGATTGGTGTTGAGGGTGCCTGGATAGCGCATCCGCGACCGTGTTGTGCGTTCCTTGAAGATAAGATATCGTGAGTTGTGGGAACTCCGCTAAGAAGTCCAACCACCGCGCTGTACGCCCGCGTAAAGGTTTGTGTGCGTTATTCTGCTGAAGGTACGTCAAGGCCTGGTGGTCTGTGTAGGCCGTCACTTCGGCTCCTCGGAGTAGGTGGCGCCACTTGTCCAAGGCGGAGATGAGCGCCAATAACTCCTGGTCATAGATGGAGTACCTCTGCTGTGTTGCGTTCATGACTTGACTGAGGAACCCCACTGGTTTTCCCTCTTGTTCTAAGATTGCCCCGACTGCGGAGCCCGAAGCGTCAGTGTACAGCGTGTAAGGCTCCTTGGGATCTGGAACCTGCAGGATCGTATACTCGGAAAGAAGGCGCTTGAGTTGGCGTACTGCGGCAGAGTGTTCTTCCTTCCATGTAAAGGGCGAGTTCCTGTGCGTTAATTCGACTAGAGGCCTCGAGAGATCGGCGAACGTAGGTCCCATAAACATCCGACAGTAGTTCACGGTGCCTAGGAATTGTCTGACTTGCGTTTCATTGGTTATGACTTCTGGCCACAGGTTAATCGCCTCCACCTTGTCGGCTGCGGGTCTAATCCCATCGGCGCCTATCCGATATCCCAGGTAAGTAAGGTCACGCTGGCCAAATTTACACTTCGTAAGCTTCGGATAAAACTGATGTCTTAAGAAAATCCCCAAGACTTGCTCCAGAAGTCGAGCGTGCGACTCCAAGGACGCACTGCAAACAAGCACATCATCAAGGTAGGCGATAACTCTCTTCCCGAGTAGCGGCTGTAGGTAGGCGTTGATGTTCGCCTGGAAGGTCGCAGGCGACCCTTTGAGACCGAAGGGCATTACCTTGTACTCGGAGAGACCCTGCACCGAGCGGAAGGCGGTCTTCCATCTATCCTCTCGAGCCATGCGGATTTGGTGAAAGCCCGCCTCCAGGTCTAGCGTAGAGAAGTAAGCTGCACCACCTAGCATCTCGAGCACCGTCTGCACACTGGGCATAGGGAACTCGGGCTCAATAGTCAAAGCGTTTAGGGCTTGGTAGTTCACTACCATCCGCATCCTACGTTCTCCACTTCCGTCATCCCTCTTATCGACCATTATGGTGGGCGCACAGATGGGCAAGTACGTGGGTCCTATCCATCCCTTAGCCATCAAACGAGCTATCTCCTTGTTGTGGTGGGCTAACTGATCGGGCGGCATCTTGTATATTGGCGCTCGCGTTGGGAGTTTGCCGGGTAAGAGAAGGATTCTGTGATCATAAGGCGTCTTGGGTGGTAGTCCGTCTGGTAGGCTATCAGGGAACAGTTTCCGGTGTTGTTGTAGCACAGTTAGGATCTGCTCAGGCACTCGGGTTGCCTCGGGCCCAGTCATCCACGCGTCGAATTCGGTATATGATTGCTGAGCTTTGGGCCAGGGCGATTCGTCGTCTTCCGTATGGGTTGTGACCGTGGACTCTCCAGGCTCGCTGAGCGTCTGAGCCCGTCTAGTGGGGAGAGAATTCGTATGTTCCACCAGTGCGTACAGTAGTGGCCCTTGCCGCTCAGTTGGCACGTGTATAACCCGCTCTGGTTCCGTGGCCGGTAACGCAACAACAAAATGTAGACCTTCGAGCGCCCTCTTCAAGTTAGCCGTATCCTCCCTTGCCCTCTGGAGAATATCCTTGATTCTCACCCGTTCTCCTGCTTTGTGTCTCAATTTATATCGTTTAGGTGGGGGGCGCAGAAGCGCCGTAGCCTCTTCTACCGACATCTTGGCTACCTGCGCCGCCAACTCCTCGTAAGCACTGTCCGCTGCCGTTTTCGCCGGATCTCTGTTGGGCGAGTCCCTTTGAGTAGTCGCCTCACTACCTTTCGGCAGAACTGGTAAGTCACACCATCGGCCGTTGACATACGTTCTAATCTTGTCTGACTGAAAGTACCATGTCACCTTGTGGTTTACCAACCAATCTATCCCCATGATGATAGGGAACGTTATGGGTCCTGCCAGGAAGTCCCCGGTAAAGCATTCCCCTCCACATAGCATAGTAAATCTCGGTACTTCCTTATCGATATGTATGATTGCGCCATTCGCTGCAGTGAAGGAGAACGCCTCCCGCAAGTTCCGCACCTTTAGTCCCAGTTGTTCCACCACCGCTGGACGAATGAAGCTCCGAGAAGCTCCTGTATCAAGCAGTCCTTCGTACCCTCGCCCGGTAATTTCAAGCTCTAGCACCGCCGATTTGCCCATTCCACAGAGGGGTCCCAAATATTCCTGTGTGCGTTCCGCTGCGTCCCCTCCTTGCCACCATAGCCATTCAGGTATCACCTGGTCTCCTTCCGTATTTTCGTCGCCTCCTTTGTTTCTAGCTCCTCTGTGGGTTCTGTTCCGTTACCGTGATTGGTTTCGCCACACGCGGTCTTCTCGCCTCTTTCTTCGCGATTGTCCGAATCTGTTCCGCTTGTTTTCGCCATTCCGCTTCCGTCCACATCGCGTCCGTTACCCGTTTTTACGCTATCTCTAACTACCAGCACGTGTCTTTGTGTGTGTAATTCGGTCTTCACGTCCGTCAGTCTCACTCGTATCCGAGGGTGCGCTCGGCTTCGATCTCGTTCCTTCTCGCTGCTCTCGCCTTCTAACCTCGACGCTGCTCCACGCCCTGTCTCGTCCTGTCTCCAGTTGGGGGAGACTGCGGTGCCATCAGGTCCAGTCTCGTCCTGGTCCCTCTGGCCACCTGTCTGTCGCTTCGGCCTAGTGCGTGCGTCTCCCTTCACGCCTAGGCCTGGTCGTTTAATCGTTTGCCTCCCGCAACTACATCTGCCCGCGTCGTTGTCGTGTTCCACCCGTCTTGTCGACCGGTCGGAGTCCGCTGTGGCGTGGCGCATTCTCGTGCATAGTGCTCTTTCCCACCGCATTTCGTGCAAATTTCTCCTCTACGCCTCTGCACTCCGTTGCGTAAGGGACAGTCCCTGCCGAAATGCCCCCTTCCAGTGCACTCATGGCAGCGGCTAGCGCTGCCCTCGTCAGGGGAGCCTCCCTTTCCCACCACTGGGGTGAACCTCCCGGATGAAATCAGACTTCCGTCCGTTCCCGGTCGTCGTTTCCCTCGTGCTGTGAACTCCATCACACTTCGTATCCTCCTAGCGCGCCACGCCTCTAGCGGTATAGCCCAGCTGCGCAAGGCCGTCGCTGCCTCTTGCCAATCGTGAAACTCCCCAGTTCCCTCGCAAGTGATTCTCTCACCTATATCTGGTGGTAGAAGTGTGAAGAACCACGTCACTAGTTCCTCTGCGGGTACTCGTTCACCCTGTGCCACCACTTCCGTGAAACGATTGATGTACTCATTGTAATCCCCCGTCCAATGATTCTCGGCTAGTAAATGTATCATCTTCTCACGCGACGGCGACCAGAACCTCTCGCACAGCCTGTCTCGTACCTGTTTCCAATCCGTCATATCTACTCCCCACTGTTTCAGGAATTCCAAGAACGTCATGGCCTTGCCGGACAGGTATTTTCCTAATAGACCTCCCCATTCTTCCATCGATACCTCCGATTCCCTGAATTCCTGTTCCACCACGCCCAGGAATGATCTTATATTGGTTCCGTCTTCGGATGCGCTGATCCCTTTCCGCCTGATGCGATCTCTAGGGGAGTTACTTCGGCCTTCCGGATGGGCTCTGCCTTCCTCGTTAGCCTGGCGATGTAGTCTCAATAGTTCATCGGTTTTATCAGTCGCCTGCCGATGTATCAACACTAATTCCTCGTTTCTAGTACGGTTATCTTCTTTCATCTCCTTGATCAACTCCAACATTGCCACCCTTCAATCAGGAGATGCCTTTCCCTCGACCTGCTCTTGGCTTCCTGATGGGGTGACGCTCTTCCTTCTCTTTGCTTGCTCGTTATCCCGCCGTGATCTGCTCTTTCGTGACTCAGGAAAGGTTCCGGCGCTCTCTACTGATGGGCTTTCTACGTCTGACATTTTATTGTTCGTCAATTCCGAGTTTACGGGTGTCTCCGCTGTGGGGTTGCGCACGCGTATCCCCTCGCTTCTTTGGTGTGAGAGCCCCCGTGGGTCAATGAAATTTTTGTTTTTTCTTGTAGCGGAAAGGTCTTTTGTTGCAATTTTAGTGGATAATTTGCCTTTCCACCTTCCCGGAACGGCCCCCAAATGTAATACACTGCCGCGCCTTTGCACCGCGTACGCAACCTATCTAACAGCCCGTTCGCGACTATTAAGAGAAGGATCCACGTAACTAGTGTTAGGAAATAGCAGTAACGGTAATATTGTGGACAAATATTAGAGGAAAATTGGAGTTCTCTAGTTAAAAACCCTCTGACCGTGCCCCCGCCCCTTCGTTGGGCGAACGGTCGTTAGATCCTAGAACCGCAAGGGGATGCCAGCGTAGGGGCCGCGGCACTGTCACCGGCCCGCGTACTATAGTGACTCCGCCTCTATGGAGGAGTCGGCCGACCTCGACTAACCATTTTCGCTCTACAGTTAGGTCAACGTAATCCTAATTTACACGTAATTATAAATTCCCTTTCGTTTTTGTCCACTAGTCGTCTTCGGCTGTACATTGTAGT